GGGTTTGAACCGCCAGCCTTCTGGTTAGCAGTCAAGTGCCTTAGCCACTATGCTACCAGAGCTCCCTCTAATGTAGCGGTGGGCTAACTACTGTGTGAGAGACCACGCCCCGTTGGTCTGGGGCCGCTTTAGCGCCGCTAAAGGAGAGTTGACTCTTTGTACAGGAGACCTGTCCCGCTGTGAACGTGGTGTGGGGGCGGCACCTGACCGCCTGCTTGAATAATAATTGAATTGTCGTAGTAAGCAATTCACTCCACTGCACCGTCTGCAGCCTCACAAAACCAAAAAAAAAACAAACCGACTTCCATGAGTATATTCAGTCTCCTAGAGACCCCTCTTTGGGTTTCCAACTGAGCGGCAGTGCGTTGGGTTTGATTTATCCCTACGCACGTAGATTGCCCAATCTTCCTACCAAGAACTGGCTGGTGGGTTTGAACTGCCAGCCTTCTGGTTAGCAGTCAAATGGCTTAGGCACTATGCCACCTGAGCTCCTTGTGTTTCCAAGGTTGTGTGTAAATCTTTATGGAAGGAGATTACTTCATCTTCCTCCTGTGGAGCAGCGGGTGGGATTGAACCACTGACCTTCTTCTTAGCATCCAAATGCTGCCCCCAGTGTGCCACCAGACCTCCTTCTAACTTCACAAACAACCAAAAACTCAACTGGCGTGGAGTCGGATCAGACTCATAGCGACCCCTCCTTGGGTTTCCGAGGTGGTATCACTACTACACTTCTGGTTAGCAGTCAAATGCCTTAGGCACTACACCACCAAAGGGGGTGGATAATGAAGGTCAACAGCCCAGGGGCTGATTCTTCTGAGGCCAAGGACAGTCATGCCTCTACCCTCCAATCTTTCTAGCAATTCTGACACCAGTAGTTTCTCCCACAGAACTCTCTACTTTTCTGCTGGGTTTGATGATTCCTTTGGTATGGCTGCACAGAAGTCTCTCACACATAATACTCAAGATTGTGGGGTTTATTAGAGACGTAAAAAGTTACACCGCAGGACTGGAGAGAGAGAGGGAGAGACGGCAAGAGATTGTGAGCAGCAGTGGCAAAGAAATGGCTTCACTCCTCTACCCCCTTTATATTCAGTTATTGAATTTCTCTAATCCCACCTGGGAGGAAGCCTCAGTAACATCCTATGATGCACAGATGACCCATCCTTGCTTGCTGAAAGCAAAGAGGTCTTGAAGCACCTACTGATGATGATCAAATACTACAACCTGCAGTAAGGACGACAGTTCAACGTAAAGAAAACCTGATCAATGGAGAAAATAATGAACGTTGTCAAGGATTTCATTTTACTTGGATCCACAATCAGTGCCCATAGAAACAGCAGTCAAGAAATCAAAAGACGTATT